CTCATGAGTCATGATGTTTCTTGCACAAACAACTAAATTGCGTACACAACTTACATTATCATAACTATCTAATTTGCGCCGCTCTCGCGATTCGTGAAGCATAATACCTTCATAATATAAGGGCATAATACCAGCGAAAAAGGGCATAATTCCCGTGATCGCTTCGAAACCTGACCAATATTCCGGTAATGAGACGTTGTGTGTGATCACTGATCATGTTTCTATATGAACGATTTTGTGTGAGCCGTGAAGTAGCAAATTAGCAAATTCGGTTAGGCCAAATAGTCTGTAATATATCACTTTGTCGTCTATGCGCTTAGTCTCGATCTGTTTATAAGCCTATATAAATATATAAGTAACTATATTTTTTCAAATGCGTTTTTTCCCACCCACTTTCAAAATTCCGCACGGGACGGCGCGCCATTTTCGTTTTTGCGCCCCCCCACAAGAATTGCCAGCTGGGGGGGCCGTGGCCCCCCGGCCCCCCTGCCAGCACGCCACTGACTGACCAGAAAGACGATGAGCCAAAATAAGAAAAGGTCTAAGCTATGTGAATCTGTTATAGAGATATGGTGAAACCGTGATTGAAAGAATAGACAGTTTTCAGTTCCTAGGTGTTTGGGTGCGGAATGATCTAACGGGAACACTCACGTCGACGAGATTACGAACAAATTTAATACACATCTTTTTTTGATCTTCGGTAATCTCGTAAAGCAATCTACCAACGGTTGCTAGCGTCACATCAGATAAAACTATAATCAGACCCCTTTTGCAATATTCGTCCGCGGAATTGGGAGAACTGGCGCGATAAAATCTGAAGCTTGAGAGTCTTAGGTCTTCCGAAAAGAAACGTTGCCACCTCTTTTGCGGCGACAAGAAAGTTGTATTATTATAGAATACGAGAGAATCCTTAAACATGTAACAAGTCCATGTAATAAATTCGTTTCTCTTGTAAAAACCAATCAATATGATCTTAGAACTGGTAGCATTGGACTATATAGAGGTTGGATCCGAATTTTCGTGGTCTAGGGGTCTTTCGATCCCTATCTCATCAACATCCTGTCCTAACACAATCGCGACTATGCTTAGTCACGCCAGCTGATCTATGACGATCATAGTGCGGTTTTCACTTAATGGCCGGACTGGTTAGACCGGAATTTCTGTCTCGGTATTAATGGAAAGATCTATCCTACGTTTCTCGAAACCCTATGGCGAAAATGGGCCTACTTTTAATTTGATCAAAATTTTCCAGTCAGAAATGTCCGAAGCCCAAATGTTTTGTGCTCCATTCAACAATTTGACCGTTCAGACCGTGTTAATGTAAAGCGCCCATATATTACAGCTATTTCCGTTACGATATCAATAAAACTAAAAATTAGATTAACCAGTAAACACACACAATAAACTATTAGTAAGGTATAGGCCTACAGTAGGCCTTCCTAAACTGCTATCTGAACTAGCTACCTCGAAAGCTGGCTTTGGTTTATAGTATCGGTTTCATTATATTAACATGCGCCATCTCAATTACAGAAATTTCACATAACGATTTCATATAAGAACATTTCATATATGTAATCGTTATGTGGAATTGAAACAACTTCATAGATAAAATTATTTCATATATGAACTTTCATATATATATGGAACGATTTCATACATAAAATTATAAGTCATATATGAACTTACAGTATTTCATATATGAAACTGTCTTCGATTTCATATATGAAATTTTCATGTATGAAATCGTTATGTGAAATTTTTATATATGAAATGTTCCATACACTGTAAATACGAGATTTTTACCAATGAAATATTCATATATGAAATTTCTGATGTTTGAAATTCTGCGTATGAAAATTATTTCAATTCAAATTTTGTTATGAAAAATATGTAAACTAATATACCAATATTAGGAAATTGAAAATTTAATACATCTATATAAAAAAGGGGTTATATATGGTATACAAGTGCTAAATATAATTAGTTATACATCTACAGTATTTACAATACTATTTCCAAAAACTGGTCGAAATATAGCTATTTAGTACACTTACTATTTAAAGCGTGTGTGACGAATTTCCAAAAGGTTCATTAAAAGTTGCTACTAAAGCCTATATCCATAATTTTTAACTATTTAATATTTAATATTTAAAAACACTTAGCAAGTTCATCTTTTACAAGCCATCCGTTCATCCTTTACTTTCTGGCTTATCGCATTTCTTATTGCCGGTTTTCAGCTCCAGGAAACATATGGCTCACATACGCTACATGTTGCATGCCATCAGAACCATGAAACCTCAGGACTCATAATACTATACAGAAATCCATCTCCATTGTTTTCTGCGTAAGTGTTATTCGTCATGATTCGTCACTCGGCAAGTATCGTAAACAGAAGCATTCACCCCCCCCCCTGGCACAGAACAGAGACACACAGAAGGTCGACTCGAGTAACCGCTACCAGGTCTCAGCCAGTGCGTGCCCAAGAGGCATTCCCCACTGGACGTCCGCCATTTTGAATATTATCAGAGGGGGGGGGGGAGGTGAATGCCTCTTAAACGCGCACCAGCCAGGACCATGGCGTCAGCATTTTGATGATAAATTATGGTCATGCCAAAATCGGTTAGCATTATTTTCCATCCATCAAACTGACCTGACGTCATTTTCGGAAGATAGAAGAATTCTGTGCCCTGGTTATGATGCGCTACCGCTTATAACTTTTGGTACAACTGGCCTGAAACTTGAAATATCGATTCAATAAGTTTAATATCAATATATTTATTGAAAAATAGATATTATGTCAAAATAAGAAAACTTAAGATTCTCACGCGAATAGGCAATGTTTTTATGAGCGACTGTTCATCGTTAGTTGCAAACGACGGTAATATAAACAAGGTCAAGGTTTATCGAAAGCGATTGACTGTTAGATTTCCTTTTATACTATTTTATAACTAAATAATGTTATTTCCTACAAATTTAGCTTTATTGTAGCTTTATTGAAAGTATAAAAAAACATGGAAACGGCGAATTACTACAGATTGAAAATAATTATTAAGGGACCGGTCATTAATTATGGGGGGGGGGAAAGCTGGTGCAAAATGGAGGAGGGTCACTAATTTTCATGCAAGGGAAATAGAGGGGGTCATGTAAATTCGTGCAAGAAAAAACAAAGCAAATTTTTTTTAATTGATAACATTTTTAATAAACAAGAATACCTAAAAAAGCAGGACAGTTATTATTTTATTAAAGTAAATGGGATATTTTGGTTCATTGATTCCTTGTTCAAGTAACAGTGTAACACAAGCATGCCTGGCATGTTTTAAATACAATGATAAACGTGGATCCTCTAGGTGTTCGTTCATTTTACTGTTTTAATTGGCTTTGTCATATATGTACATATTTTAGTTATTACTGTATACTCATTTTTTATAAAATCAAACCCTGCACAATGAAATAATTTATTTCTATCCCTTACAGATGACTTATTATTGCCAAACGTTCCTATCCAGAAAATCCCTGTCATTTAAGCTCCCTTCACCATATTAGGATGCAATCACATACAGTCACATGATCAAACTACAATATAAATCCAACTCCACCCTTACCATCACAATCATTCATACTCACTGTACTATTGAGTAAGCTACCTCTAAAAGGATCTGTCATTTGCTCTACTTCAAAATTAACTGAGAAGATGAACAATAAAATATGTGGTGTTGGAATGTCCCGTACTAACAAGACTGTGGTAGGATAACTTAACTAATAACATGTAGGAGTTTATGTAGTTATATAATTTTTCACTATCTTTCCATCTTTCATTTTTGTTGCTGTGTAGTTGGCTATTTTCAATAACTTCGTAATAATTTGTTTTTCTCTTGGTCTCACATTATTATCCAAACTCCTAAACTCTCCTTCTTTCTCCTCTGCAAATTCTGCCTACTCCCCCCTTAAAAAAGCCCTGCGGAAGAAGACTGTTAGGTCGAAACGTATTCAGGGTTCCCTGTCCTACTCATTTTCAATCTCTCGCCTTTATCGTATCGCACAAAATATTTCACCTTTTTTAGTTCCTATATAAATCGTAGTTTCCACAGTTTATTACGTATATGTTCACCATAGAAGTCGGAGTAAAGGCGCTGTTACACTAAGCAACTTGCCTCGGAACTTGTCTTGCAATGTTAAGAAAAGCGATTTCAGGTCGTTGCATTGCAAGGGATGTTACACCAAGCAATATGTTCCATGCAACTTGCAATGATCATTTAAAATAGTATAAAAACTGTGAGTGCTAACGTTTGGCGCCGGCATATTGTCAGTTAAAAGTCAATAGGAAACCACTCAGTGTATAAACATTGCGAGACTAGTTGCAAGAGGGATGTGCAACTTGTGTTGCAACAAAATTGTGACACAAATTGCATAGTGTAACAGCGCCTTAAATAACAACCATTTTGAAAACTGGTCTTCTAATTATTTAGGCTACACAATGTCTTACACGAAGGTACGAACCATAAAAAACGCTGGAAAGGGGGGGGGGGTCGGACAAAAATGTGCATCAGTTTGGCGGAGGATCAGAAAAAAATGAGCATGGTATATTTCATATGCACCGGCCCTCCCCCCCCTTTATAATTAATGATCAGTCCCTAAGGGACCGTTCATTAATTATACGTCAGGGTGGGCTGGAGGAAAAAGAGCAGAAACGGTGCAAGTTTTCCATGACCCCCCCATTAAGGTGTTAATTTTTTCATGACCTTCCCCCCCCTTCTAACCAACAATTTTTTTCACAGCCCCCCCCCCCTATTTATTTTCACCAAGTACTATTTTTTCCCAAAAATGTTGTCGATGACGGGGGGGATTTTCCGGACAAACATAAGCATGATCTAAAAAATTTACCGGACTAACATAAGCATATTCAAAATTTCTCCACCAACATAAGCAACGCTTCCAATTTCTTCACCACAAACATAACAAAAGCTTTAAAACTGTTAAAATTGCAAACCATTTCATCAAATGGTTTTGGTTGTGAAAGCTTTTAAAAATATTTGAAACTGGTCAACCTAAAATATTAATAATCACCACAAATATTTTTGGCAACCCCCCGTTTCTGCTGAAAACACTTTAAAGCCCCCCCCCCTTCTAACTATAAATTGTCTTGGCAACCCCCTTAATTTTTCTCCAGCCCCCCCCGGTCCTTAATTAATGAACAGTCCCTAAACTATGATTGAAATTATCGACGTAGAATGCTATTTTGTTGTATTAAATTTCAATAGTATTAAAGGACATTGGCAACCAAAATTTTTTTCCTTCATCTGAAAGAGCATGAAAAAATAAGCCTTTTGGCCGTTTAATGCTCTATTCTATCTCATCTAGTTCCGAAGTTATACGCAAAAATGTGCAAAATATAAATTGCTGATTCAGCACAACGTGTGACGTCATTAGTTGGGTAAGTATGTTTATTGAATTGTAAAGTAAAGCATAGCTTAGTTATTATTGGCTCAAATCAAATGAAATTTTGCATACAGATAGTACACGATGAGACGCATGGGAAAATACTTCTAATTTTATATTTGTGATGTTACTCTGAGTGTGCATCCACACCGGGCAGGCTTGAAAAATATGCCCGGCCACGGTGGGATTCGAACCTACGACCTTTGGAATACTAGCCCAATGCTCTTCCAACTGAGCTACGCGGTCAGGACGGTTCGAGTAAGTGATATTTCGGAACAGAATCTAGTTCCTTCGATACCAATGTAATCTTGTAATATGATTTTTTTCTGTGTTGGTGTTGTGTACTCAGGTGGATATGATATTTGTGATGTTACCCTGAGTGTGCATCCACACCGGGCAGGCTTGAAAAATATGCCCGGCCACGGTGGGATTCGAACCTACGACTTTTGGAATACTAGCCCAATGCTCTTCCAACTGAGCTACGCGGTCAGGACGGTTTCCAATCTTGTGAAGAATGGTTGGGAAGATTTGTCGTGTCAGGCAAAAGTATTCTCTAAACGCTTTTCAGAATAGTTTGACCACGGATAGTCCAACTCCAACCAATAACTTCACGGTACTGATTTTTCAAGTCGACGACATGAACGAATTCGGGGCATTCTCGCTTCACACAAATTGGAAAGCAGTGACAAGCATAGCCAAGGAATCTTCCTTTAATTACCAAGTACAAAATTTATAATAATAAATAATAAATATATATTATAATAATATATTATTATAATAAAATTATTATTATTATATAATATTATTACAATTTATAGTAATAATAATAATAATAATTTTCAGCGTTTGTTTCAAGATAATAGTGAGGTTAAGCAAGTGACGTTTTTGACAACACGAACGGCATGAGTAACGTCAGAAGACTGGGTCAAGGGCTGTGATTAGTGAAAAACGTCAATTTTACTTCCGGTTGACGTCCGTGTTGTCAAAAACGTCACTTGCTTAAGCTCACTATTTGCTTTGGTTATTATACGCCGCCATATATATTTTATAGGCCTTCATCTGTCCATCTTAAAGCCTGCAACACCCGCATGTTTTGATTTTCCGACAAAAATTACAATAATAAATAATAAATATATATTATAATAATCTATTATCATAATAATATTATTATTATAATATATTATTATTATTATTCATAATAATAATAGTAATTTCCAGGATTTGACTCAAGATAATTTGCTTTGTTGAACGCCGCCATATTCATTTTATAGGCCTTCGTCTGTCCATCTTAAAGCCTGCAACAACCGCATATTTTGATTTTCCGACCAAAATTCGACGTCAAAAACTGCACGCAACACTTCGGGCGAATTTCTGTCGTATAATTGTTACATTAAATTCGACGAATTAAATTCGACTGAAATTCGACATATAAACTAGGCTTAAAATGCAAATGTCGTACTCAACGTAAAACTCTAGTTTACCGGTTGTAAACAGACCGATAACAACGTCTAAATTTCCTGTGGAACTTTTATTATTTATTTGCGGTAAATATTTATTAATTTTATTGTATTTACTTTTCGCCACGTAGTCCTAGATTTCACAGTTTCTAAGAGCATTGTGTGGTATTATACTATATTAATTATACTACGTACTGTTAGTACTGGATATAAATCGATCACGTAATAAAAAAGAAAACAATCAGATAGATTTGGTCAAAACCAAAGTTTGAACAAAAAATGTAAATCACTTTACAAATGTGACCCGATGTTCACTAAACGTTGTCCACAGTAGTGTTTCGGTTTCCCTAACATAAAGCATAGAACATTTACTGCATGAGGTACAGTAGATGACATAGAAGGAGGTGCTTCTAAAATTATGATTGATGGCACTTAAGAGTTAGGTGCCGAAAAGGTATTAGACAAATCTATGAACTTATAGGGTATACACTGAGGCCCCCGGAAAAGAAAACGTCCCATTACATGACAACGAATCATATGGTGGGGAACTACGAACTGAAGGTCCCTCGGATATTTTTGCTTTGTCGAAAAGAGACAGTACAATTATGGACAAAAGTGGTAGATAAAATCAATTAACATTTTAGGAAAATACAATCAAATAATTTCGTATAGTTTCTCCCCTTTCTCCCACCCAATCTTGCCATAATTTTCCTTTCATTTTAAACGTAATTCAGCAACATTGTTTTGGAGATGGGGGGGGGGGTTAGGCAAAATACTAGAAACAACCTACAATTTAAACTTTCACAAAAGCAAATTAATATTTTATTAACAAGTTATGTCCGCGATTGTAGCTCGGGTTTTATCGGAAAGAATGGAACATAATTCAGGGTCGTTTTTCAAGACATAAAAATTCTTCCTAACAACATCTCTTAGTTTAAATTTAAAAGTTTAGGGCACATGTCGCTCCGAGTATGTACTCGCCAGTAATGTTTCTAGTTTTCGTGCAATTCCTTCTAGTTGTTGAGCTAAAGCGTGCAACTTGTCCCGCCTTCTATATTATACTGTAGGCGGGATAAACGCAACTTAATTGTACACTATATCATCTTTGCAGAAAGTATGCTGTAATTTCACACAATTTGAAAGGTGTAAAGCCCACCGTCCCCCAAATTCAATAAAAGTCGGATTTCAAACCTCTATAAGGCGCGTAGGGGAGAAGGAGGGTGGAATAAATGTATCAAAAAATGGAATGATTTATCTTAGTTGTCGATGCTAAAGCGTACAACTTGTCCCGCCCTTTCTATTATACTGTCCGCACGATAAGCGCAACTTGTACATTATATCATCTTCGTAGAAATTATGTTGTAATTTCACACAATTTGAAAGGCGTAAAGCCCACCGTCCCCCCAAATGAATAAAAGTCTTGTTGCAAACCTCCATCCAACATTGAAACACGACGGGGGGAAGGGGGAATGGAGGGTGAAAAAAATGTATCAACTAATGGTATGATTTATCTTATTGCATGGAAAAAGATTGAAATTTGAAACATGGTTTATATTTAGTACAAGTTAGCCATCGTAATAAAAGAATATAAGCCAATGGGCGCCCTTACTGATAAGAAATTGCTCCTGTACGTCTACAGAAAATGTTCAAAACATGTTGAAATTTTTTAACACAATATATTATAATCAATTCAAACAAATATTTGTACAAGTTTAGAACATGCGCTACTGTTACAAACTCTATACAATATAATATCAATTAGGCATGCAAACTTATTAAGTAGTTTTTGTACATTGTAAAATGCAATATATAGTTTTTTATCATAAAAACACACTACTTTTTACGTTCAAAAACGCGTTCCATTGTGATACTAAATATGTTTAACTTGGCTTACTCCCATGCTTCTAATAATCTATTGGGCTATATTTGCTACTTGTTATATCATTACCCTTCCAGGTATGTACGCTCTATAGATTCGAGTACACTTGTAGCGGGCGAAAAATTTCAATAAAAATATAACACGAAACAAAGTCCGCACAGAACCATTTTAGTTTATGATATGGATTAAAGCACGATCTTACACAAGACACTAGACTGTGTAGCGGAATTTGTTTCGTCTTATAAGAAGAATAAATTGTTTGAAAGGCGTCGAGATGACAGAGATTTGAGATAAATAAAGGATAAATCAGACAAGACGTCATTTTTGAAGCCAAAAGTCTCAATGAGGCAGTCTGCGATAAAGAAATTTTAATCTTGATGAAAAAATGAAATTAAATATTAGTTACTCAAACGGTTATCAATGTTTT